GTTTACATACACTTAGGTTGCAGTCATTAAAACTCGTTTTTCAACCACTCCACAAATGTCTTGTTAACAAACTATAGTTTTGGCAAGTTGGTTAGGACATCTACTTTGTGCATAACACAAGTAATTTTTCCAACAATTGTTTAGACAGATTATTTCACTTATAATTCACTGTATCACAATTCCAGTGGGTCAGAAGTTTACATACACTAAGTTGACTGTGCCTTTAAACAGCTTGGAAAATTCCAGAAAATGTCATGGCTTTAGAAGCTTCTGATAGGCTAATTGACATAATTTGAGTCAATTGGAGGTGTACCTGTGGATGTATTTCAAGGCCTACCTTCAAACTCAGTGCCTCTTTGCTTGACATCATGGGAAAATTATAAGAAATCAGCCAAGACCTCAGAAAAATAAATGTAGACTTACACAAGTCTGGTTCATCCTTGGGAGCAATTTCCAAACGCCTGAAGGTACCACGTTCATCTGTACAAACAATAGTACGCAAGTATAAACACCATGGGACCACGTAGCCGTCATACTTCTCAGGAAGGAGACGCGTTCTGTCTCCTAGAGATGAACGTACTTTGGTGCAAAAAGTGCAAATCAATCCCAGAACAACAGCAAAGGACCCTGTGAAGATGCTGGAGGAAACCGGTTCAAAATTATCTATATCCACCGTAAAATGAGTCCTATATCGACATATCCTGAAAGGCTGCTCAGCAAGGAAGAAGCCACTGCTCCAAAACCGCCATAAAAAAGCCAGACTACGGTTTCAACTGCACATGGGGACAAAGATCGTACTTTTTGGAGAAATGTCCTCTGGTCTGATGAAACAAAAATATAACTGTTTGGCCATAATGACCATCGTTATGTTTGGAGGAAAAGGGGGAATGCTTGCAAGCCGAAGAACACCATCCCAACCGTGAAGCACGGTGGTGGCAGCATCATGCTGTGGGGGTGGAAGGAAAATTATGTGGATATATTGAAGCAACATCTCAAGACATCGGTCAGGAAGTTAAAGCATGGTCGCAAAAGGGTCTTCCAAATGGACAATGACGCCAAGCATACTTCCAAAGTTGTGGCAAAATGGCTTAAGGACACCAAAGTCAAGGTATTGGCGTGGCCATCACAAAGCCCTGACCTCAATCCTATAGAAAAAGTTGTAGGCAGAACTGAAAAAGCGTGTGCGAGCAAGGAGGCCTACAAACCTGACTCAGTTACACCAGCTCTGTCAGGAGGAATGGGCCAAAATTCACCCAACTTATTGTGGGAGGTTGTGGAAGGCTACCCAAAACGTTTGACCCAAGTTAAACAATTTAAAGGCAATTCTCCCAAATACTAATTGAGTGCATGTAAACTTCTGACCCACTGGGAATGTGATGAAAGAAATAAAAGCTGAAATAAATCATTCTCTCTACAATTATTCTGACATTTCACATTCTTAAAATAGTGGTGATCCTAACTGACCTAAGACAGGGAATTTTTACAAGCATTAAATGTCAGGAATTGTGAAACTGAGTTTAAATGTATTTGGCTAAGGTGTATGTAAACATCCGACTTCAACTGTACATAGAAACGCCGCTAATGGTTGGTCATCGAAATTTGGTTAAAACTAATGGATTTTCCATGACTTCTCCATCTGTCAAAATGTGTATGAACCTTATTTTACTACCCGCTTGAACTACTTTTCGCATCAAATCTTTGAAACAACTGCAGTTTTGACCACTTTTCCCACAAGTTAGACGACAACTTGGGTATGAAATCTTATTCTACTTCTCTGCTTTTCAAATCTAAAATCCGAACACTTCTTCCACTAACATAAACATTTTAAGAGCTAAAGCAAGCTCCAACATGTTTTACTTCATGTAAAATTACCATCTAATTAGGCTACTAATTAGGACTGGGGATTGCTGGGGACCTCACGATATTATCACGATACTTGGGTGCCGCGATTTGATACTGATTTTATTTCGATTCGATGTTCCAAACAATTGCTCACCATATGTCTGCTGCAGAGAGACGAGAAAGCCATGAGAATGAGTTTTGATCAGTCATGGAAATAAGTGCTCTAAACAAATTGGCTCCCTATTTAAAAAGAAGATGGAGAGCAAACAATTAAGGAAAAATACTGGAGTTTTGGTACAGCCAACTAGCGCAAAGATAATATTGTGGTATTGTCAAAATGAGAAGATATAGCGTCAATCAATATCCCGATATGTAACTATCGATTTCCCCTCCCCCATCACTACTACTAATAATCAAGTTTTAGTTTGGTCTGGTCTCATCTTTGGAACATGCCTAGTACAGGGCAATTCCACGATAAGAGTGATGCTGAGACTAAGATTTCACTTTAAAATGTAGGCCAAACAAAAACCAATGATTGCAAAGTTAAACAAACCAAACAACTCTATGCACAAGGACTACTTTTTACAATTTCCACAACATTTTACAAAAACACATTTACTTGAGAAACCGTGCCGATGCAAAATTTGGTAACAGAATTACGGTTTGTGCCAACAATACAGTTTTAAGAAAATAGAGTTAAGAAAATATTGACTAAATAAACGAAAGTGGAAAAAAAAGTAACACAATAAAATAACAATAATGCTATATACAGGGGGTAAAGGTACTGAGTCAATGTGCGGGGGTACAGGTTAGTCAAGATAATTTGTACATGGGTAGGGGTAAAGTGACTGCATAGATAATAAACAGCGAGTAGCAGCAGTGTAAAAACAAAGGGGGGTAGTCAATGCAATATATCTGCTCTGACAAATGTTATTGTGCACTTCGGTTCTATGAAATAAGGGAGTCGGGACATTCAGCACTACAGTGCACAGCTCCCGCCTCCCCACACACACATCACCGCATGCAGTGCTGCTGAAGGCCCATGAGCAGCGTGAGTGTTCTGGTGGCCCCTGCACAGAACATTCACTGTTGGTGAAATCCTCAAAGTAGGCATAGGCCCACATGTCCTCGTTTACGTTCACAAAGACTATTTAGCTTCTCAATGTGTTCATGCAAAATAACGTCCCAATGTTATTTCTCTGTGTGCATCACACGGCTACTCATATAGTACATTTGAAGACTTGTCAGCTGTTACCACATTACCTCCCACTGCTTCTCCCCTTAATCACAGTTAGAGCTAAGCAGGTCTAGGCCCACTGTCTGTTGATGTAACTTAGTCTTGCAATGGATGCCTGACCGGTAATAAAAAATAAAAAAGCAATCAACATATTGATACTGTTGCATAATCTGTCACTAAAAGTACCTGAAGCATATTGCATCTTTCTCTTAAACAAGTTGGTAGGCTAGGCAACTCCTATTGTTACACATCAATAGCAGAAAGGGTGTCGCCTGAATGCTCCTCTATAGGATGGCCCTAAACCCTGGTTTTCTCTGTATTTGGCTCATAACTGAATTATGTGCAAAACCCAACCAGGTAAGACTGTAATAACCCTGTACATCCAATGTCACTGAGGTGTGTTCTCTGTCACCCGCCTCAGTATAAGTCGTGGGGCGAAGTTCTGCATTCTGAGAGGGTGCTGATGGAATTGTAGTTTTTGCTGAGAGCACCCAAGACACCTGCCCGTTCACACTGGCCCTGCGCTCAGTGTCAAAGAACTGACTGACTGACAGACAGACGATCGCCCTGCACACAGACGCTATGGAGTGAGTGATGGTTATTTAACCCCCAATGGTTGTTAACGTCTCCTTTTTTTGACACTCAGGTTGTATGCAGTGCCAGTGAGAAATCTCACTCCCTAACGTCCGATTGTGCACAAACTCCTTTGCCCAGCTTTCCTTAAATTACCACGTGCCACTAATATTATAAGCACCTAATTTGTACACACTCATGCCTTTTCCCGACCATATGCTTACAGTGCTAAATAGTAGCCTATAGCGTGACATTCTCAAAATGTTCAAGCACTTATCTATTTACTGCTTTGAGACACTTGTTAACTATGGCCCCAGATGTGCAATTCAGGCAATATAAAACAAACCCTGCAACAAAACCTGCTACAGGTGGATTGGAACACACACTGCCCCGTCCACACTGTTCTAATATAATACCCTGTTGTCTGAACAGTCAGTGGACACCCGTGTGCATCCGTTTCTTCCAGGAACATTTCAATTGTAATAGGCTGTTGAGTGAGTTGTGGTTTGTGTATGAATTGAAATGTGATGTGCAGCTTCTGTACGTCTGCATAAATACAACGTTATGGTGTTTTTCACATATGGTAATAGAAGTTATTGTCTTTGATTACTTATTGTGCATATTAATGCAACTTATTGTGCTTATTCCCAATCCTTTTTTTACAGTAGGACCTCCTGGAGTTGCACCATATGCACCAACCTAGACATACATACTGTATATGTACTACTGATATTAAAGGGATACTTTGGGATTTTAGCAGAGGCCCTTTATCGACTTCCCCAGAGTCAGATTAACTTGTGGATACCATTGTTATGTCTCTGTCCAGTATGAAGGAAGTTCGAGAGAGTTTTCCGAGCCAATTCTAACTAGTGTTAGCGTAATGACTGGAAGTCTATGGGTATCTACTATACATACTAGCAGATACTCATAGACTTTCAGTCATTGCGCTAACGTTAGTTAGCATTGGCTTGCAAAACTACCTCGAACTTCCTTCATACTGGACACTGAGACATAACAATGGTATCCACAAATTAATCTGACTCTGGGGAAGTAGATAAAGGGCCTCGTTGCCTAAATCCAAAGTATCCCTTTTAAGGCTAATTGTTGTTACACTACCAACACATGGGACATCTGATTTGAAGATACGACACAAACAAATTTGTGCATGAGATGCTTAAACTATTTTACATATTTTGGTGATATAATATTACACTGAACAAGGTCAAGTGTTCATTCTGAACATTCCCTGCCACTCGCTTTGTTTGTATATAAAGATGGTTGAGTAGTGTTATCTTGCAGTGACATAGTTAATAATTGGGGTTTCGCCCGTCTCTCCCTCCTCCACCAGTCGGTCCCCCACCACCAGCAGCCTGATGGCCAGCAACGTGACCAACAAGACGGACCCGCGCTCACTCAACTCGCGGGTCTTCATCGGGAACCTCAACACGCTCCTGGTCACCAAGGCAGACGTGGAGGCAATCTTCAGCAAGTACGGCAAGATCGTGGGCTGTTCTGTGCACAAGGGCTTTGCCTTCGTCCAGTTCGCCAACGAGAGATGCGCACGTACCGCCGTAGGGGCCGAGGACGGACGCATGATCGTGGGACAGGTGCTGGGTAAGGATTAAAGCCTGCCTCTGGGGCTGGTGAGCAATGCCTCAAACTCAGGGTTCTATGGGTATTGGACAAAACAGACCTTTTCGGTACAGTACCTGGCCTGCTTGTGGAGGATGAGAACAGTTTTTAAAGGTGCCTCTGTAAGGACTGAATATGGATATAGATTGTATTTCCAACTGCCAACCAAGACTGACTGTCTCTCTCTTCCTCAGACATTAACTTGGCTGGAGAACCCAAACCCCACAGGTCAAAGACCACAAAGCGATTGGCGGGAGACATGTACAGGTCTGATTCAATGTAAAGAACCAAGTTTTTAAATATCTAATATCAAATGTGAGCCACCTCTGGGTCTCAATCTTACTCTTACTTTGATAATTCCTCTTCTCCACTGCATACATGCATACAACTATTTTTCTTCTCCCCACAGTAGTCCCACATTTGATCTGGACTACGACTTCCAGAGAGATTACTATGACAGGTGAGTCCAGTGCTTTGTCTGTTCCCACATCCTATGTTTCAGCTCTATTTAACTATACTGACCAAAAATATAAACGCAACATGCAACAATTTCAATGGTTTTACTGAGTTAGTTCATATATGGAAATCAGTCAATTGAAATAAATTCATTAGGCCCTAATCTATGGATTTCACTTGACTGGAAATACAGATTTGCATCTGTTGGTCAGGGATGCCTTTAAAAAAATGGTCTCACAATGGGCCTCAGGATCTCGTCACGGTATTTGTGCATTCAAATTGCCATAAATAAAATGCCAGTCAGTAGCTTATGCCTGCCCATACCATAACCCCACCGCCACCATGGGACACTGTTCACAACATTGACATCAGCAAACTGCTCGCCCACACAACGCCATACACGTGGTCTGCGGTTGTAAAGCCAGTTGGACACACTGCCAAATTCTCTAAAATGACATTGGAGGTAGCTTATGGTAGAGAAATGAACATTTAAATTCTCTGGCAACAGCTCTGGTGGACATTCCTGCAGTCAGCATGCCAATTGCACCCTCCCTCAACTTGAGACATCTGTGGCATTGTGTTGTGTGACAAAACTGCACATTTTAGAGTGGCTTTTTATTGTCCCCAGCACAAGGTGCACCTGTGTAATGATCATGCTGTTTAATCAGCTTCTTGATATGCCACAGCTGTCAGGTGGATTGATTATATTGGCAAAGGAGAAATGCTCACCAACAGGGATGTAAATAAATTTGTGCACAAAATTTGAGAGAATTAAACATTTTGTGCGTATGGAAAATTCCTGGGATGTATTTCAGCTCATGAAACATGGGACCAACACTACATGTTGTGTTTATATTTTTCTTTAGTGTAGATAACTCAATATGCAAGCAGAATTAGTGTAAAGGCAGTAGATTGTTCATTCATTACTCGCTGTTCTATTCTCAGAGTGTACTCGTACCCATCCCGCGTGCCCCCTCCTCCTCCTCCACCCATGTCCCGAGCAGTGATCCCGTCCAAGCGCCCACGGGTCAGCATGACTGGAGGGGGCAGCCGCCGCGCCAAGGCCAGTTTCTCCTCTTCCTCCAAGAGCAGCCAGAGGGCATCCTCAAGAACAAGTCCGTGCCCAGCCCTCTCTTCTCTAGCCACTCGAATAGCACACTACTTGTAATACACTTTGCACATTGCACAGTAGACTATTTGTAGCATCCTCATGCAGTACCTGCTGTCAATGCTCACCAGGGCCTAAAATTAACACCCAACACCTGCCAAATGCAGGTCGATTTTGGCATTGGCGGGTAAGATGTATATTTCACCAGCTACGTTGGAGGGTGGTCAGGGCTCCACAGTGTGAAGTGTGTCACTCGCATTTGCAAATAGAAATAGTCAAGTATGATCACATTTATAGTAAAATAAATGCTGCAGTAGCTGTTTTCAAAGTATTTCTGCCGTTTTTGTTTAATTGCTGGTAAATGTATTGCACAAAGTCAAAGAACTACGAATCCTATATAGCCTATTCCACCTCGATTTTGGCTGGTGGACCAAAACGTTTATTTTATGCCCTGATGCTCACGGTGCTGGGCTTGAGGTTAATCGCATGTTGCTAATGAAAGTTACTCACACAGCGCTTTAATACAGAGCTTCATAAGGTAGTGTGATCAAAGGAGCTATCTCTTAAACCTTTATCCCAATTTGTTCTGTCTCTTTTCTCTCAGTGAAAACAGATGACCTGCAGACCATCAAGAAGGAGCTGACAATGATTAAACACAAAGTAGACTACCTGCTGGAGAGCCTAGAGCTTATGGAGAAGGACCACAGCAAGAAGTCAGGTAGAGTGCAGGAGTGTCACCTTAACCATGTGTTCAAAGCTTTTACAAAAAGAAAGTTGCACACTATGCTCCCAAACATTGAATTGGTATGGCAACCAATGTTTCGGCACGCAGTGCCTCCTTCAGGGTTACATGGTAAATGCTTGAACCAGGTTATGTGGACAGTCAACTTTTATAACATAAAAAAAATTCATGAGCTGGTTTGTACTCTGTATGTACAGTGGGGAAAAAAAGTATTTAGTCAGCCACCAATTGTGCAAGTTCTCCCACTTAAAAGATGAGAGAGGCCTGTAATTTATCATAGGTACACGTCAACTATGACAGACAAATTGAGAAAACAAAATCCAGAGAATCACATTGTAGGATTTTTTATGAATTTATTTGCTAATTATGGTGGAAAATAAGTATTTGGTCAATAACAAAAGTTTCTCAATACTTTGTTATATACCCTTTGTTGGCAATGACACAGGTCAAACCTTTTCTGTAAGTCTTCACAAGGTTTTCACACACTGTTGCTGGTATTTTGGCCCATTCCTCCATGCAGATCTCCTCTAGAGCAGTGATGTTTTGGGACTGTCGCTGGGCAACACTGACTTTCAACTCCCTCCAAAGATTTTCTATGGGGTTGAGATCTGGAGACTGGCTAGGCCACTCCAGGACCTTGAAATGCTTCTTACGAAGCCACTCCTTCGTTGCCCGGGCGGTGTGTTTGGGATCCTTGTCATGCTGAAAGACCCAGCCACGTTTCATCTTCAATGCCCTTGCTGATGGAATGAGGTTTTCACTCAAAATCTCACGATACATGGCCCCAATCATTCTTTCCTTTACACGGATCAGTCGTCCTGGTCCCTTTGCAGAAAAACAGCCCCAAAGCATGATGTTTCCACCCCCATGCGTCACAGTAGGTATGGTGTTCTTTGGATGCAACTCAGCATTCTTTGTCCTCCAAACACGACGAGTTGAGTTTTTACCAAAAAGTTATATTTTGGTTTCATCTGACCATATGACATTCTCCCAATCCTCTTCTGGATCATCCAAATGCACTCTATCAAACTTCAGACGGGCCTGGACATGTACTGGCTTAAGCAGGGGGACACGTCTGGCACTGCAGGATTTGAGTCCCTGGCGGCGTAGTGTGTTACTGATGATAGGCTTTGTTACTTTGGTCCCAGCTCTCTGCAGGTCATTCACTAGGTCCCCCCGTGTGGTTCTGGGATTTTTGCTCACCGTTCTTGTGATCATTTTGACCCCACGGGGTGAGATCTTGCGTGGAGCCCCAGATCGAGGGAGATTATCAGTGGTCTTGTATGTCTTCCATTTCCTAATAATTGCTCCCACAGTTGATTTCTTCAAACCAAGCTGCTTACCTATTGCAGATTCAGTCTTCCCAGCCTGGTGCAGGTCTACAATTTTGTTTCTGGTGTCCTTTGACAGCTCTTTGGTCTTGGCCATAGTGGAGTTTGGAGTGTGACTGTTTGAGGTTGTGGACAGGTGTCTTTTATACTGATAACAAGTTCAAACAGGTGCCATTAATACAGGTAACGAGTGGAGGACAGAGGAGCCTCTTAAAGAAGAAGTTACACGTCTGTGAGAGCCAGAAATCTTGCTTGTTTGTAGGTGACCAAATACTTATTTTCCACCATAATTTGCAAATAAATTCATAAAAAATCCTACAATGTGATTTTCTGGATTTTTTCCCCTCAATTTGTCTGTCATAGTTGACGTGTACCTATGATGAAAATTACAGGCCTCTCTCATCTTTTTAAGTGGGAGAACTTGCACAATTGGTGGCTGACTAAATACTTTTTCCCCCCACTGTATACCAGCAATCTCAGCATTCTTATGACTTGTATGCATAGTTAAGGGATTTCATTGTTGAACTTTCTTTTGACGCCTTCTTTTTCTCTGGCTTGTTTGACCCGGATCGCGCTCTCTTTCTGTAACAGATGGGAAGGGTGCAAAGCCTGAGCCTGGAGAGGTGTCCTCACAGCAGCACTGCAGCAACAAGAAGGAGGAGAGCATCAAGAGGGAGAGGGAGAGCCAGGATCTCAATGACTCTGAGGAGGAGGGGGATCTGCTAGAAGAGGAGGAGGTGAGATGGAAGAAACGAGGGAGGGGGAAGAGGAGAAAATGTCATGATGCTGCTAAAGATAAATGGTTTGACCTGTGTCTGCTACACTGAATAAAAATGTAAACGCAACATGCAACAACTACAACTGGAACATGCTGTCATACACGTCGATCCAGAGCATCCCACCATGCTCAATGGGTGACATGTCTGGTGAGTATGCAGGCCATGGAAGAACTGAAACATTTTCAGCTTCCAGGAATTGTGTACAGGTCCTTGCGACATGTGGCCATGCATTATCATGCTGAAACGAGGTGATGGCAGTGGATGAATGGCACGACAAAGGGCCTCAGGATCTCGTCACGGTATCTCTGTGCATTCAAATTGATAAATTGATAAAATGCAATTGTGTTCATTGTCCGTATCTTATGCCTGCCCATACCATAACACCACTGCCACCATGGGGCACTCTGTTCACAACGTTGACATCAGCAAAACGCTTGCCCACATGACGCCATATGCCCGGTACAGTTAAAACCGGGATTAATCCGTGAAGAGCACACTACTCCAGCGTGCCAGTGGCCATCGAAGGTGAGCATTTGCCTACTGAAGTTGGTTACGACACCGAACTGCAGTCAGGTCAAGACCCTGGTGAAGACAACGAGCATGCAGATGAGCTTCCTTTAGATGGTTTCTGACAGTTTGTGCAGAAAGTCTTTGGTTTTGCAAACCCAGTCTCATCAGCTATCCGGGTGGATGGTCTCAGACGATCCTGTAGGTGAAGAAGCCGGATGTGGAGGTCCTGGGCTGGCGTGGTTACAAATGGTCTGCGGTTGTGAGGCCGGTTGGACGTACTGCCAAATTCTCAAAAATGACGTTGGAGGCATTCCTGCAGTCAGCATGCCAATTGCACGCTCCCTCAACTTGAGACATCTGTGGCATTGTTGTGACAAAACTGCACGTTTTAGTGACCTTTTATTGTCCCCAGCACAAGGTGCACCTGTGTAATAATCATGCTGTTTAATCAGTTTACTTGTCAAGTGGATGGATTATCTTGGCAAAGGAGAAATGCTCACTAACAGGGATGTAATCAAATTTGTGCACAACATTTGAGAGAAATACACTTTTGTGCTCATTTCAACTCATGAAACATGGGACCAACACTTTACAGTCGTGGTCAAAAGTTTTGAGAATGACACAAATGCTAATTTTCACAAAGTCTGCTGCTTCAGTTTTGATGATGGCAATTTGCATATACTCCAGAATGTCATGAAGAGTGATCAGATGAATTGCAATAAATCAGAAAGTCCCTCTTTTCGGATCATCAAGAACTTCAAGGAGAGAGGTTCAATTGTTGTGAAGAAGGCGTCAGGGCGCCCAAGAAAGTCCCAGCAAGCGCCATGACCGTCTCCTAAAGTTGATTCAGCTGCGGGATCGGGGCACCACCAGTGTAGAGCTTGCTCAGGAATGGCAGCAGACAGGTGTGAGTGCATCTGCACGCACAGTGAGGTGAAGACTTTTGGAGGATGGCCTGGTGTCAAGAAGGGCAGCAAAGAAGCCACTTCTCTCCAGGAAAAACATCAGGGACAGACTGATATTCTGCAAAAGGTACAGGGATTGGACTGCTGAGGACCTGGGTAAAGTCAATTTCTCTGATGAATACCCATTCCGATTGTTTGGGGCATCCGGAAAAAAGCTTGTCCGGAGAAGACAAGGTGAGCGCTACCATCAGTCCTATGTCATGCCAACAGTAAAGCATCCTGAGACCATTCATGTGTGGGGTTGCTTCTCAGCCAAGGGAGTGGCCTCACTCACAATTTTGCCTAAGAACACAGCCATGAATAAAGAATGGTACCAACACATCCTCCGAGAGCAACTTCTCCCAACCGTTCAAGAACAGTTTGGTGACGACCAATGCCTTTTCCAGCATGATGGAGCACCTTGCCTTAAGGCAAAAGTGATAACTAAGTGGCTCGGGGAACAAAACAAAGAAATTCTGGGTCCATGGCCAGGAAACTCACCAGACCTTAATCCCATTGAGAACTTGTGGTCAATCCTCAAGAGGCGGATGGACAAACAAAAACCCACAAATTCTGACAAACTCCAAGCATTGATTATGCAAGAATGGGCTGCCATCAGTCAGGATGTGGCCCAGAAGTTAATTGACAGCATGCCAGGGTGGATTGCAGAGGTCTTGAAAAAGAAGGGTCAACACTGCAAATATTGACTCTTTGCATAAACTTAATGTAATTGTCAATAAAAGCCTTTGACACTTATGGAATGCTTGTAATTATACTTCAGTATACCATAGTAACATCTGACAAAAATATCTCATAACACTGAAGCAGCGAACTTTGTGAAGACCAATACTTGTGTCATTCTCAAAAGTTTTGACCACGACCTGTACATGTTGCGTTTATATTTGTTCAATGTAATTTGAGTATTGTTTATACTCACACCACCTAATATGGTCTCTCAGGTGAAGAATCAACAAAGAGAGGAGGAGGAGGAGGAGGAGGAGGAGGAGGAGGATGATGATGATGATGAAGAGGAGGAGGAAGGAGAGCATGTGGATGGAGACGACGATGGTGACAGTGTCAACAGAGATGAGGACTCTTAGACAACACGGAGACTGAAGCACACTTGTACAGACAACACATCCACATGGCTTCCAGTGGCACCGCCGACTCCTATTTTAATACCCACACTAATACGAAACGTGAGAACGTCAATACACACAAACGCACACATAGAACACCTGCCCCCACTACCACCCTTCCATTGTCCCACAGGTCTTTTATTTTTCAAAATGCAATTTAGTTTGTCCCTGTTTCAGCCCCCTCCTATCACAGTGTAAACATTTAGCATTGTCTTGCAGCCAGGTACATTGGAACTAGATGTAGATAGCGAGCAGTATGACGTGATTTTCTGTGCTGCTGTTCCTCTTTTGACCAGCAGAGAGCAGGAATGGCTGTTTTCTATGACCTGAGCCACAAGTCAAACCACCACATTGGCTTTACTAGGATTGGTAATCAAGAGATGACAACTTTAAAGATTGAGTGAACATTTAAAGACATTTATTTTTTAATTCGCCCACTTGAGCTTGTATGTTCCTTCTTTTCATGTCATTGTTTTTTATACTACTCGGTCTAAGTTGTACTGTAATAATAAATTGCAATTAAATACTCAAATTGATTAATGCATCTGTATTTCATTGAAACAGGTTTTCAGATGCACACCTAATTTATCAGGTATTATTAGTTGTGTTTGGGTGAAGATAGCCCAATAATAAATAACTGATATCATGTGTATTGTGGATATCATGTGTATTGGAATTCAGAGTCGGATGACTGTTCAAAACGTATTTTCCCAGTCTGAGCTTTTTTCATAGTTCCCAGTTGTCTTGAACTCACTGAAGTCTGAGGTTTCCAAGTTTCCAGTTGTTTTGAACGCGGCAGAAGTCATGCTTGATTGACAGCATGGCCAATGTATTCAACCTTTTCTGGCCCATGGCATGTGAATGTTTATCCTTTTAAGCTTGGAAAAGAGACCCTTAAACCCAGACTTGGACCACACACCCACTCCACTGAATAGCAGGCTAGTGATTGCTTTGCAATGCTTGCAGTTAGCCACTGATTCCTTCCAAACCACTTATTGTTGAATTTGCTATTTCCAACTTGTTGGATGGCCGATGAGCACCGATACGTTTTACCTAGAACTTCTCTTCATATGACAAGGATTTGACAGTAGATTGTCGACTTGATTCATGATGACTGCTTGTCTAGCTTGAGTGACAGAACACTGAGCCAATCACGGCGCAACTAGAGAACATTACCACCCCCTACGCTCTTTATTTTCCCGCTGGCTGCCCTACCAGCACAGAAAGGACTGAGCTAGGCTGAAACACCTGCATTTTGGAGCTGCCTTACTCAAGAAAGCAAAAAAGAGACCATGTTTGTAGAGATACTTTATTAACTCAATTATTGTTTTTCATACATTGTTTGCTAACGGATATGTCACATGTATTAATGCCAAAAAAACATGTAAAACTGTCCATATGGAAGGTGAGACGCAATTGCGGAGCCTCTGGAGGCGTGCGGAGGCCAAATTGAGCTCTGTATGGCATCGCCGTGCGCCTCCCAAATGTTGTAACAATGCGGAGGGCATTGACATAATTGGTTGACGGTAGGTGGGGGCGGTACATCCTGTATAAACATAAACTAAATTCCTTGACAACAGCTCTGCGCTGCTCCGCAAAGCGCAAGAAGTACAGTATGAATGCCCTGACTTCTGCAGAGGCCATATCACCGTAACGCTCTGAACACATCAACTGCGTCATTGCGCAAAATAGTATGCAGCATCATCTAGATATGTGTGCAGCAAAAGTTCAACATTCACCTTCTCCTACCATTTCTGTCAACCCATTCACGCATACAGTTTGACGCATACGTTCGATAAATCCAACGTATGCACCACAAAGAACGCACTGCAACTGCCTCTGCAATGCAATGCTGCAAGGCAAACGCAGCGTTCCATTGGAAATGAATGTACTTCTGGTGTGCCAAAACGCATATACACAGTGGGTGTGTTCGAAGCGTAAATGCTGCATGGCCAATGCAGTCGTCGGATGACCATGCAGCGCCCAAATGCACAATGCACTTCTCTCTCCAGAATGATCTCTCTCCCGCCAATTTGTGCACATTCATTGTTTCATAACTTAATTGTGTAAATTGTTTGCGTTTGATTGTAGGTGTCTATCAATTCCCTATATCACCAGTAGTAGCCTACATTTACCGTTATTTCCTATAATTTCTAATCTACAATGTTTGTTTGGTTATGGTGATTTCTGTTAATGCATTCAATAAGTTATTATTCCAGTCTTTTACCATTCTCATTGTCGGAGTGGACACATTGTTTGCTGAGGGCACAACCTATGCTACACTTGTGAAAAACAAGTTTTGGTTTATTTCATTCCATTTAGGAGTTTTGTCAATTTAGTCATTGTCTTTTGTTTGGAGCGCTCCTGTCAATGTTGAGGAAGGACGTGCACCTGATTACGCATAGAAGTAGGCCTATAGGCTATCTAGCCTTCTTGCAAATGTAGACATATAATTGTGCCCATTTGGAGATCTGATAGTATTTCTGATTGGCTTATGGCACCACCACTAATGAGCTGTGGAGCTTCTCAAAGTAACGTTTTCTTCACCTCAAACAGCGAGCAAACAAAATCTGTTTTTACAACCATTGAGAATGACAATAGTTCCTCAATTCATTAGAAAAATCTTTCCAGCTCTCTCCCTTTAGATAAAGGGAAATATGTCATGCTCTGATCCAGTGGAAACGTCATAAAATAGGCCTACCTGATTACTTCTTTATCAAGTGCTTGACTTGGACTAAAATAGGTTCCGGTACTCATTTTGGGTGCTGGTACTGTTTATATTTAGGTGCAGGAGCTCCACAATACTTTTGAGCTAATATTCTATAAGAGGAACAGGAGCTCAAGCAGTAGAACTTTTGAGGTGCCGGTACATCGCTCTGGTGAGCTCTTGCCCATGTCGGGCACTGCTTCTTATCCCTTGTGCAAATAGCCTACAGTTGTGTCTGTCCCGAGCTCACGAGCTCACTGGTACGGGAAATGGAGGCCCAGAATATTTTATACAATGTTGCAAGTTCGCTAGCGCTTCGGCCGGACCCATGTTAATAGTTTATACCAGGGGTGTCAAACGTCCGGCCCGCGGGCTGGATCAGGCCCGCAAACGGGTTTAATCCGGCCCGCGAGATGATTTTGTAAAGTATAAAAATGAGCTGCAATTTTTCAATAAAATAAACTGCTGTTCCAATTGTTTCCACTCGATGGCGCAATAGCAATTGTGTTAAGCAAGCAAACTGTTTATACCGGGGCAGAGCAAATAGGTCAAGCAAGTGCAGCCAGTCCGGATGAGCTACTTTGTTTTGCCCGCAATATTTATTACGGCTTCTACTTTTAACATTATGTGCTTTGGCGCCCTCATTGCCCCAATATGTCTCTGTCAAAAAAGAGAAAAGTGGACGCAGAGTGTTCCACGAAAAATTGTCATCCTTCTATTTATTCACGGAATTGAATGGGAAAGCTGTATGTTTGGTTTGTTCACAGCATGTTGCAGTGCTGAAAGAATATAACCTTCGTCGCCACTATGTGAGTCTTCATGCCGACAAATATGACAACTTTCAAGGACAGCGGAGAAGAGAGAAGGTGAATGAACTGTTGGTGGGTCTGAAGAAACAGCAGTCTGTGTTTACTCACAGCCGAGACATCAGTGACGCTGCAGTGAAAGCTAGCTACCTCATTGCTAATGAAATCGCAGTGGCTTCAAAACCATTTAGTGAGGGTGAATTTGTAAAAACATGCATGATGAAGGCAGCAGAGATTGTGTGCCCTGAAAAGCACCAGGCTTTTGCAAATATCAGCCTGACAAGAAACACAGTTGCAGACAGGATTTCCGATCTTTCAGTGGATTTGGACAGCCAGTTGAAGCAAAAAGTAAAGTCATTTATTGCGTTTTCGGTTGCAATTGATGAAAGCACGGACATTACAGATGTTGCACAACTGGCCATTTTCATCCACGGAGTTGATGACACATTGACCGTCACCGAGGAGTTCGTGGAGTTGGTGCCCATGACAGATACAACGACAGCAGCTGATATTTTCACTGCACTCGTCGGCGCGCTGGACAGGGTCGGAGTGGACTGGTCCCGCGCTGTCAGCCTGGCTACAGATGGTGCGCCCTCAATTATCGGGAAAAAAGCAGGCGTTGTGACAAAGTTCAGAGAGAAAGTGCAATCTGCAAATGGAGGATGTGATTTTTGGACTTTTCACTGTATTTTGCACCAGGAGGCTTTGTGTTGCAAGTCATTAAAGATGGATAACGTCATGAATAAAACAAAGCTGCGCTCAAGGCTCACGCACAAGCACTTGAATCACATCCTGAAGTTGGCTGCCACTCAGGATGTGACGCCTGATATTGATGCGCTGGTGAAAGCTAAAAGATGCCAGGTATCAGGAGTCAAATAAACTATGCAACCCCACTTAAAGTGCTGCATGAGACACCCTGATATAGTTCTGTGATCTGTGATATACTTCTGTGAATCACTGAGGCATTGTGTGTTTGTGTGTTGTTTGTCCTCAGAATTTCAAATAACTTGAGGTGTTTTATGATTAATAGTGATGTTGTGCTTTTGGACACACTGTCCTCAGGCTCCAGCTTTATGTTTATATGTTTTTATGTTGATGTGCTATTGTTTTTAATTGATTTTATTTGTATATTTAACCTATTCTTGACTCTGTGGTTCTTGCACTTGTTTGGGGAAAAGGATTTCAGTATTTGTATCTACATTTCTGCCTGAGAAATGACACCCTGATATAGTTCTGTGATCTGTGAAACAGTTATGTGAATCACTGAGGCATTGTGTGGTTGTGTGTTCTTTTTCTTTAGAATTTTCTAATAAACTTCAGGTGTTTTATGATTAATAGTGATGTTGTGCTTGTACTGTTTTGGACACACTGTCCTCAGGCTCCAGCTTTATGTATTATGTTGATAGTATTAAAACAAAGAAAACAATCTGAAGTTGTTGTTTTTAAGTTATATATACCATGATTTTACCGGTCCGGCCCACTTGGGAATAGATTTTCCTCCATGTGGCCCCTGAGATAAAATGAGTTTGACACCCCTGTATTAGAACGAGCAAGTCTGGAATATAAGTCTCTAAGGTGTAGGGTAGAGTACTGGGTGGTAGCCGGCTAGTAACTGTGAGTAAGGTTCAGGCAGGGTACTGGGCGGAAGCCAGCTAGTGGTGACTATTAACAGTCTGATGGCCTGGATATAGAAGCTGTTTTTCAGTCTTCGGTTCCAGCTTTTCTGCACCTGTCTCCGCCCCTCTAGATGGGCAGGTGAACAGCCGTGGCCGGGTGCTGAGGTCCTGATGATTCTGAGTCTTTTTTTGGGCGTCCTGTCAATTTTGAGGAAGGAGTGCACCTTTTTACGCATAGAAAGTAGGCCAAGGCTATCTAGTTTCTTGCAAAGTAGAATTATAATTGTCCCCTTGGGGACGATAATTTCGGGTTGGCTTATGGCACCACCACTAATGACCTTGGAGCTTCTCAAAGTATCACCTAAACAGCGAGCAAAAAAATCTGTAAACCTTGGATGACAATAGTCCTCAATTCATTAGAAAAACTTCAGCTCTCTTAGATAAGGGAATATGTCATGCTCGATCCAGTGAAAGTCAAAAATAGTACAACTTTAGTGCTGACTTGGACTAAAAGTTCCGGTACTCATTTGTGTGGTACTGTTTATATTGCAGAGCTCCACCTTGATAAATCTATAAGAGGAACAGGAGCTCAAGCAGTAGAACTTTTGAGGTGCCGGTACATCGGCTTGGTGAGATTGCCCATGTCGGGCACTGCTTCTTATCCCTGGTGCGCAATAGCCTACAGTTGTGGCTGTCCGAGCCCGAGCTCACTGGTTACGGGAAATGAGAAGGGCCCAGAATATTTTATACAATGTTTGCAGTTCGATAGCGCTTCGCCGGATCCCATGTTAATAGTTTATACAGGGGTGTCAAACGTCCGGCCCGCGGGCCTGGATCAGGCCCGCAAACGGGTTTAATCCGGCCCGCGAGATGATTTTGTAAAGTATAAAAATGAGCTGCAATTTTTCAATAAAATAAACTGCTGTTCCAATTGTGTCCACTCGATGGCGCAATAGCAATTGTGTTAAGCAAGCAAACTGTTTATACCGGGGCAGAGCAAATAGGTCAAGCAAGTGCAGCCAGTCCGGATGAGCTACTTTGTTTTGCCCGCGATATTTATTACGGCTTCTACTTTTAACATTATGTGCTTTGGCACCCTCATTGCCCCAATATGTCTCTGTCAAAAAAGAGAAAAGTGGACGCAGAGTGCAGAGTGTTCCAAGAAAAATTGTCATCCTTCTATTTATTCACGGAATTGAATGGGAAAGCTGTATGTTTGGTGTGTTCACAGCATGTTGCAGTGCTGAAAGAATATAACCTTCGTCGCCACTATGTGAGTCTTCATGCCGACAAATATGACAACTTTCAAGGACAGCGGAGAAGAGAGAAGGTGAATGAACTGTTGGTGGGTCTGAAGAAACAGCAGTCTGTGTTTACTCACAGCCGAGACATCAGTGACGCTGCAGTGAAAGCTAGCTACCTCATTGCTAATGAAATCGCAGTGGCTTCAAAACCATTTAGTGAGGGTGAATTTGTAAAAACATGCATGATGAAGGCAGCAGAGATTGTGTGCCCTGAAAAGCACCAGGCTTTTGCAAATATCAGCCTGACAAGAAACACAGTTGCAGACAGGATTTCCGATCTTTCAGTGGATTTGGACAGCCAGTTGAAGCAAAAAGTAAAGTCATTTATTGCGTTTTCGGTTGCAATTGATGAAAGCACGGACATTACAGATGTTGCACAACTGGCCATTTTCATCCGCGGAGTTGATGACACATTGACCGTCACCGAGGAGTTCGTGGAGTTGGTGCCCATGACAGATACAACGACAGCAGCTGATATTTTCACTGCACTCGTCGGCGCGCTGGACAGGGTCGGAGTGGACTGGTCCCGCGCTGTCAGCCTGGCTACAGATGGTGCGCCCTCAATTATCGGGAAAAAAGCAGGCGTTGTGACAAAGTTCAGAGAGAAAGTGCAATCTGCAAATGGAGGACGTGATTTTTGGACTTTTCACTGTATTTTGCACCAGGAGGCTTTGTGTTGCAAGTCATTAAAGATGGATAACGTCATGAATAAAACAAAGCTGCGCTCAAGGCTCACGCACAAGCACTTGAATCACATCCTGAAGTTGGCTGCCACTCAGGATGTGACGCCTGATATTGATGCGCTGGTGAAAGCTAAAAGATGCCAGGTATCAGGAGTCAAATAAACTATGCAACCCCACTTAAAGTGCTGCATGAGACACCCTGATATAGTTCTGTGATCTGTGATATACTTCTGTGAATCACTGAGGCATTGTGTGTTTGTGTGTTGTTTGTCCTCAGAATTTCAAATAACTTGAGGTGTTTTATGATTAATAGTGATGTTGTGCTTTTGGACACACTGTCCTCAGGCTCCAGCTTTATGTTTATATGTTTTTATGTTGATGTGCTATTGTTTTTAATTGATTTTATTTTATTTGTATATTTAACCTATTCTTGACTCTGTGGTTCTTGCACTTGTTTGGGGAACAGGATTTCAGTATTTGTATCTACATTTCTGCCTGAGAAATGACACCCTGATATAGTTCTGTGATCTGTGAAACAGTTATGTGAATCACTGAGGCATTGTGTGTTTGTGTGTTCTTTTTCTTTAGAATTTTCAAATAAACTTCAGGTGTTTTATGATTAATAGTGATGTTGTGCTTGTACTATTTTGGACACACTGTCCTCAGGCTCCAGCTTTATGTTTTATGTTGATAGTATTAAAACAAAGAAAACAATCTGAAGTTGTTGTTTTTAAGTTATATATACCATGATTTTACCGGTCCGGCCCACTTGGGAATAGATTTTCCTCCATGTGGCCCCTGAGCTAAAATGAGTTTGACACCCCTGTATTAGAACGAGCAAGTCTGGAATATAAGTCTCTAAGGTGTAGGGTAGAGTACTGGGTGGTAGCCGGCTAGTAACAGTGAGTAAGGTTCAGGGCAGGGTACTGGGCGGAAGCCAGCTAGTGGTGACTATTTAACAGTCTGATGGCCTGGATATAGAAGCTGTTTTTCAGTCTCTCGGTTCCAGCTTTTATGCACCTGTCTCCGCCTTCTAGATGGTAGCAGGGTGAACAGGCCGTGGCTCGGGTGGCTGAGGTCCTTGATGATCTTCTTGGCCTTCCTGTGACACCGGGTGCTGTAGATGTCTTGAAGGGCAGGCATTGTGCCCCCAGGGATGCGTTGGGCTGACCGCACCACCCTCTGGAGAGCCCTGCGGTTGCGGACGGTGCAGTTGTTGTACCAGGCAGTGATAGGCAGTGTACAGTGCTATGGTGATTGCGTCATCTGTGGATCTGTTGGGGCGGTATGCAGATTGTAGTGGGTCTCAGGTGTCGGGTAAGGTGGAGGTGATATGGTCCTTAACTAGCCTTTCAAAGCACTTCATGATGACAGAAGTGAGTGCTACGGGGCGATAGTCATTTAGTTCAGTTACCTTCCGAACCTGTGAATGAAGTTAACGAGAACATCTTAAAGAAATAAAGGGAAGACAAATGGAGTACTTGAAGAAAAACACAAACACAAACAATGCCAAGGTTGCGCTCCCATCCCAAGTGGATAGGACTGCTGACAATGGCAAGAACTCCGCCCGCAAAATGAGAGGAACATTTAAAGCCAAAAGCCACATACATGGAGGATATGTATATGGGAAAAAGGGCTGGGGCAGCTGTTGTTGTTTTGCTGTAATAGATCTAAGAGGCAAAGAGAACTCCCTAAAGCTCCAGTCAACTGAATGCTGATTATAATCTGTCTGACATGATTGAAAACTGTCCCCATCTCTTACTCCCCTCCCTTCTGCTCCTCTCTGTCTCTCTCTCCGGCTCTACTATCACTCCCTCCATCCCTCTCCCTCTCTCTCGCTTTCTCTATTTCAATTTCTCCTATCGGTGCATGGTGATCCGGTGAGTAACAGTGTATGAAGTAGCCCGTTGCCATGGCGTCAGATGCCAGCCACATGCTGGAGGCAGCCTTGGAGCAAATGGATGACATTATCGCTGGTAAGCTTCTATTTTATTAAGACCTCCTCAAAGACAACCCGGCTTGCAATTACTGCTCTCTTTAGACTGGTATTTGGTAATGTCTTGAAGGTTTCATTGAGATTTAAATATATTAACTTAGAGTAGGAATGTTACATTTTGTTCAGTTCTTTCTAAGCATAATCAAAATAAATTGTGTACTTTGGATTTTAGTTGAAATGATGAAAGGAAAGTTCCTCTTAGGATCTTGAAGTTTGAGATACTGGGATTAAGCTTGTTCCAACTAGAGCAGATTTACTGGGGGAAACTCAGCAGGTTTTGAATAGATGGTCCTTGTCAGTAGGCTACTGTACATCAACCATTCTGCTAGTCTTTTACGCTGCCTCTCTTCTTCCCCCACCTGATCTATTCCATGTATACTCTATCATTTATATTACATTTCCATTTTGGTCATTTAGCAGACACTCTTATCCAGAGCAATTTACAGTCAGTGCATTCAACTAAGGTCGATAAAACAACCACATATCAATGTCATAGAATGAAAAAAACGTTCCTCAATAAAGCAGCTATCAGCAAAATCAGTGCTAGCAAGAAAGACAAATACAACATCCTTGTCTGTAGTTGTCCACCACACTCTATAACTAGCTCTCTTTCCATATTGTTCAGCTCTCCATGTTTTCTTACAGGGGTGATACATTTCAGTCACCACTGTTTGTCATAACCATAGCAGGATATCAGATGACTCTGTTGGGGTTCCTGTAAGGGGCACAAGACAAAAGGCTCTAATAATAGAGATAGCATAGTGCTAATGACCCCCAGTACACTGCAAGACAGAGAAAACCGTGACATCACCCATAGAGATGGTCATACAGGCTAACATATTGCTAATAATGCTAACAATTCCTGTAATAGGCCTACAGCTAAGGTGACATGAGATCATGAATATATATCTGTGCAGACTAGTGCAATATTTAAAAGACCATCAGAGCACAGCACTTTGACACACTGCCTTTACTCAGAGAAGCAGTCAATACACCATGCAATGTCCCTACAATATCCCTATAGGGAACACTTGAGTTTTCAAAGCTGACAGCGTTCAGGCACTGTTGAAGCTAGCGTTGTAGTGGGAGGGTGCCCTCCAGTGGTTATGCTAGGTAGCAGTTGGATGTTTTCAATTATTTCACACATTATGTTGATGTATTCAGTGACTCACATTGGAAATTCAAACTGGCATGATATATTCATCAGCACATAATACTTTCACTCAGCAATCCTAACAGCCTGTTTGTGGAGCAGTCACATACAATATAGTCAACAGCAAACAGTTTATAGTAATCTGATTTCAGAAAATCAAAACAAGTCAAAATGGATTGCTAGACTCTGGGATAGCTAGTTTTAAGGCTCTGATGGCTGTATCACCCCTATGATCTTTGCCCTAACCATAACTTGAATCTAAATTATTTCATTTTATTGGCAGGAGGGTTCTGCGAGGCCTTCTTGAAGTTTGGGGCCCAGGGTTACCACTCCCAGGGTTCGAACTCTGCCCCCACCTTTGCCCTCACCTCAGCCATTAACCCCAACATCAGGGTGCTGCAGCTGGTAGAGGATCTCAGGGTAGCCCTGGAGGGCCAGGTGGACCAGGAGGAGCATGAGTCCATGAGCAGACAGGTCCCCATGGACACAGCACACACCCTGTTAGATTGGCTGGAGAAGGGAGGGGTGAGTAGCTTCAACACAGCCTAAACTCACTTCACACACTAAACTGGCTAGTGTGGTGTATTTATTCAGGAAACCTTGTTACTGGGTTCTATTGAGCATATGAACCATCTTTCAGAAGGGGGGGGGGGGATTATGGGGTGGAATAGAGACAAAAATAACAAAGTGATAGTGTTTGTGTAGGAGACGGAGAGGGATAAAAAAGAGAGGGCGAAGGGAAACGAGAGAGAGAAGAGAGAGAGAGAGAGAGAATAAAAGAGGAGAGAGAGAGAGAGAGAAGGGGAAGGAGAAGAAAGGGAGGGAGAGGAGCCAGCTGGGCGTGGTCTGAGTCGTAGTTTCTGCAGTCTGATATTAGAGACTAGCCACTTCTCAGCCTGCCTCTGTCTGGGCTCCAAACCACACAGCCAGGGTCCCACCTAGAAACAGCACACCATAGGTCCCCCACACAGTCTCTTGCAGCGAGAGAGTAGGAGGGGAGGGGGGAGGAAGAAGCAGAAAAGAAGGATTCAAGGGGAAAACAGGGATAAAGTATCTTCTTTTAGAAGCGGGGTTTAAAACTCCATCAGTCCCTCCTCTCTCTGAGGAGGAGAGAGAGAGAGAGAGAGAGGAGCGGGAGAGGAGAAGAGAGAGCGAGGAGAGAGAAGCAGCGGGAAAGGAGGAACCCCATTTTTCCATAGAGAAATGGGTCGGAGAGGGAGGATATATCTCTCTATATCTCTCTCTATATCTCTCTCTATCTCTCTCTCTCTCTCTCTTCTCTCTCTCTCTCTCTCTCTCTCTCTCTCTCGCCAGGATAAGTTACAGTGTAGAGTTTGAGGAAGAAAATAGTCAAAGCTACAATGGGCCAACAGAATGGAGTATAACATAGATTTCTATAAGCATGTTGCCTAGCTGAAAAAGGTAAGAGACTTTTTGAGGTTTCACTTTCATGCTTTTCCCTACTTATATATCTGTACTGCATCTGTATAGAGGAATCTGGTTATTGTTATTGTACACAGACAGGGAAATCGCTTGCATACTGGAGATGCACATGGAGAAAGACTGGTGTTGTGGAGTTGTTCATTGTAACACAGTTGATTGATAGTACAGACTCATCTGTTTTGACCGTAAACTGGAAAGTTCTGTGTCATAGTAGTCACCTGTTCTATTGTCTGTCATTTCTGCACCTTCACAGAACAAGGTCCTTCAATTAAAAGTTGGTATGGGAAAAGCTTGGCAATTGTTGAAGAGCAACAGGTAGCATTCAATAAAACATGGTAACCACCTTTCTGGAAAACACTTTGAACTCTCATATTACATTTACATTTTAGTCAATTAACAGAAGTTCTTATCCAGAGCATACATTTCCATACCTTTTTTACTTTCTTGTTCGTACTGGTCCCCCATGGGAATCCAACCCTGGCATCTACCACCTGAGCCACACAGGACCCAACTCTCCCTGCGTTTCTTTACTGTGCAGGAATAATACTTATACCCGAAACTCTGCAGGCGATTGTGATTGGATGAGCTTCTACATAGCCTTCATACATGGCACGATAACAGGAAAACTTGATTTCCGTATAGTTCAATTAGCAATATGGCTAATCTGTCAATCCATCTGTTGAGGAACTTGTACTGAATTTTAATGAAGAATGTGTGAAGGGGAGTAGGAACGGGCCGGACCGGGCTGGCGACGCGCACCACAGGCTTGGTACGGGGAGCAGGAACGGAGCGGGCTGGCGACGCGCATCACAGGCTTGGTGCGAGGGACTGGAACAGGCCGGACCGGGCTGGCGACGCGCACCACAGGCTTGGTGCGAGGGACAGGAACAGGCCGGACCGTGCTGGCGACGCGCACCACAGGCTTGGTACGGGGAGCAGGAATGGGCCGGACCGGCTGGCGACGCGCACCACAGGCTTGGTGTGAGGGACAGGAACAGGCCGGGCTGGACTGTGGAGACGGACTAGAGGTCTGGAGCGGAGAGCTGACACAACCCGTCCTGGCTGAATGCCTATCTCCACACCCTGTGTGTGAGGCATCAGCACAGGACGTACAGGGCTGTGCACTCGTACTGGCGCTACAGCACGTGGCACTGGCGCAGGATATCCGGGACCGAGGAGGGGTACTGGAGGCCACGAGCGTTGAGCCGGCACACTCCGTCCTGGCTACATGCCCACCTTAGCACGACACGTGCGTGGTGCTCGCACAGGACGTACAGGACTGTGCCGGAACACTCGCGGCACAGTACGTGGCTCCGCATAACCCGGAGCCTGCCCAGTCTCACGCTGCCTAGCCTGAGTACGGGGAGTTGGCTCTGCTCTACCTCTAGGCTCCGCCAACCATCCTTCCAGCCCCCCAAACCTGGTGGCCTCCTCTCCTAGATCGCCGATGCGCCCTCTAGCTGCCTCCAGCAGCCCCGTCATCCACGCCGTGTGCCCCCCCCAAAAAAATTACTTGGGGTTGCCTCTCGCGTGTCCGTCGTCGGCACGGTTGGCGCCGTTTCTCCTCTCCTGCCTGGGCATTTATTTTGCCCATGGCCCTCTGCCCGCGAATATGTCCTCCCAAGACCACCATTCGCCCACCTGGGACATCGCCAACTTCTCCTGTTTGGCACGCTGCTTGGTCCTCTCTTGGTGGGATCTTCTGTCACGATCGTTATGAGAAGCGGACCAAGGCGCAGCGTGATAGGCGTACATACTTTATTAAGTGTACACAACAAGAACAAAAACAACAAAACGATACGTGAAGTCCTAGGTAATACAACAAACCATACGGAACAAGATCCCACAATAAACTAGTGAACACAGGCTGCCTAAGTATGGTCCCCAATCAGAGACAACGAGCTACAGCTGTCTCTGATTGGGAACCACCCTGGCCAACATAGAAATAAACGATCTAGAACAAAACCCATAGAAAACTAAACATAACAAGTCCACACCCTGGCTCAACATTTAAGAGTCCCCAGAGCCAGGGCGTGACAACTCATTACATTTTGAGTGCTTAGCAGGACAGGAAAACGGTCCAATTCACTCACTTACAGTATCTAGAGAACATCCTTAGTCATTCCTACAGCCTCTGATCTGGCAGACTCACTAAACATACATGCTTTGTTTGTAAATTATATCTGTGTTGGAGTGTGCACCTGGCTATCCGTAAATAAAATACAAAACTAGAAAATGGTCTGGTTTGCTTAAATGATTTATACTTTTACTTTTAATACTTAAGTATATTTTAGCAATTACATTTACTTTTGGTACTTAAGTATATTTAAACCAAATACTTTTAGAATTTTACTCAAGTAGTATTTTACTGTGTAACTTTCACTTTTACTTGAGTCATTTTCTATTAAGGTATCTTTACTTTTACTCAAGTATGACAACGGGGGGTACTTCTTTCACCACTGGTCATCAGCCTATACATTCTCTCCCTACATATGGGACACTTTAGAAGATGAGGCGTGACACCATTTAGATGATGGTGATGATGCAACGTTCACTATAAGCAGGGCAATTTCCCATTTCTATGAAGCCTACAGGATGCTTTGGAAATAGAATTAGGAATTAGAATACTAGAATGGATATGAACCTTCTTATGATGGTCTAAAGCATCAGCCATTTTGGTCAGGGACTTGGTCAAACATGGTTTGCAGTGCTGTGATAAGATATTGTGTAAAACAATGAATTTGGAGATTATCTGCATTGTATGTTTGCTAGCTATAGCCAGCCAGTTTTAGAGGCATGATTCCATACATTTTTCAAATTGTGCCAATATGCCAATATTCCATTTAAACAATGCAGTCAATCCACAGCATACACTTGCTGAAATCAGTTGATGATAGGATTTAGACAAGTTTTAAATGCAACAAGTACTGATATTGTATAATATAATAACACTCACAGCTTTCTAAGAAAATACATATGTTGACATTTACGGTCTGTTTACATATATTTTAGAGGCTATTTAGACCGAAAATGTGTATAAACCTGTATAAACTGTATTTATAATTATACGTCAATATTTTGGGGTTACAATATTTCTATTACACAACTTCTGATATTTATCATACCTTTCTTTTCTTTTCTTGCAGAAGTAAAAACAGGAAATGCATCACCGATGCCTCTACTGCCATTCATTCCAATTAGACTGGTTTGGATTTCTCCTGACGAAAATAGCTGCCTTTATCACCCCCTTCTATAACTGTGAGGGATTATGACATAGACCCTTTTGTAATTTAATAGGATCTCTATGGAGTCGACCACCAGACGACATGGACAGATAAACTGTCTTTCTGTGTGTGTGTGTGTGTGTGTGTGTGTGTGTGTGTGTGTGTGCTATATGTCATATGGAGAGAGCACCACTTTCTTCCTCACACAACATCAATAAATTAGAGTACCAGCCACACAGTGATGATATCTTTGTTATCTCATCCCAGCTAGGGAGGCCAATGTAAATGTAATTTTCTTCCATGCTTTTTTCTGTATCGTTATATCAATGCTAAGCAGGGCATTGACATGGACCATCATAAAGAGAGAGTGTAAATCACCCCCTACCACTAGTGCTCTCAACAGACATATACTGTTGCTACTTTTCAGGGAAGTTAGGAACCAATATACACAAGCAGTCAGGAAAGCAAAGGCTAACTTTTTCAAACAGAAATTTGCATCCTGTAGCACTAACTCCAAAAAGTTTTGGGACACTGTAAAGTCCATGGAGAATAAGAGCACTTCCTCCCAGCTGCCCACTGCACTGAGGCTAGGAAACACTATCACCACCGATAAATCTACAATAATCGAGAATTTCAACAAGCATTTTGCTACAGCTGGCCATGCTTTCCATCTGGCTACCACTAACCCGGCCACCAACTCTGCACCCTCTGCTGCAATTTGCCCATGCCCCCCCCGCTTCTCCTTCACACAAATTCAGACAGCTGATGTTTTGAAAGTGCTGCAAAATCTGGACCCCTACAAATCAGCTGGGCTAGACAATCTGGACCCTTTCTTCCTAAAACTAGCCGCTGAAATTGTCGCAACCCCTATTACTAGTCTGTTCAACCTCTCTTTCATAACGTCTGAGATCCCCAGAGATTGGAAAGCTGCCGCGGTCATCCCCCTCTTCAAAGGGGGTGACACTCTAGATCCAAACTGCTACAGACCTATATCCATCCTGCCCTGCCTTTCGAAAGTATTCGAAAGCCAAGTTAACAAACAGATCATTGACCATTTCGAATACCACCGTACCTTCTCCGCTATGCAATCCGGTTTCCGAGCTGGTCACGGGTGCACTTCAGCCACGCTCAAGGTCCTAAACGATATTATAACCGCGATTGATAATAGACAGTACTGTGCAGCCGTCTTCATCGACCTGGCCAAGGCTTTCGACTCTGTCAACCACCGCATTCTTATTGGCAGACTAAATAGCCTTGGTTTCTCAAATGACTGCCTCGCCTGGTTCACCAACTACTTCTCAGATAGAGTTCAGTGTGTCAAATCGGAGGGCCTGTTGTCTGGACCTATGGCAGTCTCTATGGGGGTGCCACAGGGTTCAATTCTTGGGCCGACACTTTTCTCCGTGTATATCAATGATGTCGCTCTTGCTGCTGGTGACTCTCAGATCCACCTCTACGCAGACGACACCGTTTTGTATACATCTGGCCCTTCATTGGACACTGTGTTAACAAACCTCCAAACGAGCTTCAATGCCATACAACAATCCTTCAGTAGCCTTCAACTGCTCTTAAACACTAGTAAAACTAAATGCATGCTTTTCAATCGAACGCTGCTAGCACCCGCCCACCCGACTAGAATCACCACTCTCGACGGGTCTGACCTAGAGTATGTGGACAACTACAAATATCTAGGTGTCTGGTTAGACTGTAAACTCAACTTCCAGACTCACATAAAGAATCTCCAATCCAAAGTTAAATCTAGAATCGGCTTCCTATTTCGCAACAAAGCCTCCTTCACTCATGCTGCCAAACATGCCCTCGTAAAACTGACTATCCTACCGATCCTTGACTTCGGCGATGTCATTTACAAAATAGCCTCCAACACTCTACTCAGCAAATTGGATGTAGTCTATCACAGTGCCATCCGTTTTGTCTCCAAAGCCCCATACACTACCCACCACTGTGACCTGTACGCTCTTGTAGGCTGGTCCTCACTACATGTTCGTCGTCAAACCCACTGGCTCCAGGCCATCTATAAATCACTGCTAGGCAAATCCCCGCCTTATCTTAGCTCATTGGTCACCATAGCAGCACCCACCCGCAGTCTGCGCTCCAGCAGGTATATCTCACTGGTCATTCCCAAAGCCAACACCTCCTTTGGCCGCCATTCCTTCCAGTTCTCTGCTGCCAATGACTGGAACGAATTGCAAAAATCTCTGAAGCTGGAGACTCTTATCTCCCCCAATAACTTTAAGCATCAGTTGTCAGAGCACCTTACCGATCACTGCACCTGTACACAGCCCATCTGAAATTAGCCCACCCAACTACCTCATCACTATATTGTTATTTAATTTGCTCTTTTGCACCCCAGTATCTCTATTTGCACATAATCTCTTGCACATCTAGCATTCCAGTGTTAATACTATTGTAATTATTCTGCACTATAGCCTATTTATTGCCTTACCTCCATAACTTGCTACATTTGCACACACTGTATATATATTTTCTGTTGTATTTCTGACTTTATGTTTTTTTTACCCCATATGTAACTGTGTTGTTTTTATTGCACTACTTTGCTTTATCTTGGCCAGGTCGCAGTTGTAAATGAGAACCTGTTCTCAACTGGCTTACCTGGTTAAATAAAGGTGAAATAAATAAAAAAATAAAAATAAACTGCACTATAGAAAAAGCCTCTGCTCCCCTTTACATTCAGCAAGCTGCAGTCTGTTTATTTTCTGTTGTCTATGATCCCTCTTTTCTCCTCTGTCTAGCATATAGCATCACTTAGGCCGTTGGTTAGAGTTGCTGTGATGTAGATAAGGCCTCTCATCCCTGACTGATATAAACCAGGCCGTTAGCTAGCTGCGCTGCTGTTGGATGTTGCCGCGCTACAGATGAATAATTCAGTTGTCATTAGTATGCGCAGTGTCACAGGTCTCTCTGAGCGCCTTTATGACAGCCAGCCTGCCGTCGCCTCTTGTCTGGTTAACAACCACGACCCATGGTCCTGCCGTCGCCTCTTGTCTGGTTAACAACCATGACCAATGGTCCTATAGTCGCCTCTCGTCTGGTTAACAACCACGACCCATGGTCCTGCCGTCGCCTCTTGTCTGGTTAACAACCACGACCCATGGTCCTGCAGTCGCCTCTCGTCTGGTTAACAACCACGACCAATGGTCCTGCAGTCGCCTCTCGTCTGGTTAACACCTACGACCCATGGTCCTGCAGTCGCCTCTCATCTGGTTAACACCTACGACCCATGGTCCCGCAGTCCACCTACACCAACCATTACTGTATGACAATAGGAGTGTGTGAGTGTGACGTGTGTGCCTGTGTGTGTGTGTGTGTGTGTGTGTGAGTGAGTGCATGTGGTGTGTGTTTGTGTTTGTGCGTGTGTGCGTGCATACCTGCAAACCTATCATTAGTGGTCTGAGTGAAGTGGATAAGCTACTGTGATCCATCCAGGTACCTACAGAGGTGTTAGCCTATCACGTTGTGTGAGCTTTTATCACTAATTGCCTCAGCGGATGACACAGAGTAATTATCAGGCTGACATGTAGCTCTTCAAATCTGACACTAACAGGCGCTGAGCCAGGGAGGCTTCCTATCTCTTATGCTACATGTGGCGGCGATCTGCTTTTAATAGTGCAGACATAGAGGAGGTGTGAATATAGATGTGTTGCCATGACTCTTGCCCACTGGCCTGCATGTATTCACTGAGTAGACTCTTGGACTACAACAAGTATGTATTCTGATTGCCAACAGTAGTAATATGTTGAGTGTGGCACTTGATAATCAACTGTATAATCATTCATTAATAATTAAATTAATTCTCAATGTGGAGTGATTGACCTGTGCTCAGCCACAATCTCCTTGCAACATGATGCAGGCAGGAAATAGATGAGAAAACAAAGTGCTGCAATAGGGTGAAGGGAGAGGTTAAATATGAGTACAGGCAGAGAGAGAGATGGAGAGAGAAGGAAAGAGAGAGACAGACATACAGATGTATGATCTTAATTTGAGCCAGTTTGCTACAGCAGGAAAATAATTCTGCAGCAACAGGAAATGTGAATTATGATGTGGATTATAATGAATGGACATTTTTTGTAGGGGTTGATACATTTTCTGTTTGGGCAAATCAAGTCTGACATTTTAAAATGGAAATTACAAACTTTAGAAGCCTTTTGTAATATAATACAAGTTTGCATTTCTTGCTCTGCAGTACAAATCTCAGCAACAAAAGAGTGATCAAATTAAAGATCCTACATCTGTACAGACAGACAGACATACAGACATAAAGGCAGACTAGGTCTATAGTAATAGGCTGCTCCAGTGTTCTGGGTGGATATGTGGATAGGTAAATAACTTGATGATGTCACAATGCCACTTTACCAGGGATGGAGCACTAGGGAACATTATGAGGTAACATGTTGCCACGGAAACACACTTCTAACATAATCCCAGACCACATTAAAATTGTTAGACAAGCTCAGGTAGAGCGTGTTAGCTACATCTCTCAACCTATAACTGATTTGATTGATTACAACAGTACACTACCCTAGCGTGTTATGGGTCAGACACATAGTGACCCTGTCACTCTGGTCTCTCCTTGGGAGCAACGAAAGGAGACCCATAAACATAAAAATAAACCCAAGAAGAAGAGCATCCCTCCAGCCCTGACCTTTCTTCAGCTGTGTACACTGCTGAGCTGCGTCAGGATGAAGAAGACACCATTTGATCCCTCCCAGAGTGGTGAGGGGAGAAAGGCAACAACAATACACGATACGAACAACAATAATGACTCTGATACTGGTGAGTGTGAGGAGGTGCCTATTGACTAGTGCTGCTACATAGTACAATTATTTAGGCTTCACTTGGAAAAAAAACATAATGTGTCTTGGAAATGTTTCACTTACAGGCTCTGACTATTCTGAAGGTGATGTGAAAAGGATCAAGCACAAGAGTAAACGAAAGGTTCGGAGCGAGAAAGTTTGGATTGAAGTTTAGAAATCTCCTGAGTGGCGCAGTGGTCTAAGGCACTGCATCGCAGTGCTAACTGTGCCACTAGAGATCCTGGTTCGAATCCAGGCTCTGTCGCAGCCGGCCGCGACCGGGAGACTCATGGGCGGCGCACAATTGGCCCAGCGTCGTCCAGGGTAGGGGAGGGAATGGCTGGCAGGGATGTAGCTCAGTTGATAGAGCATGGCGTTTGCAACGCCAGGGTTGTGGGTTCGATTCCCACGGGGGGCCAGTATAAAAAAATAAATAATATATGTATTCACTAACTGTAAGTCGCTCTGGATAAGAGCGTCTGCTAAATGACTAAAATGTAAATCTAAGGACCACAAACGCAGAACGACACTGGAAACAGAAAAAGACAATAAACAAAGATCTAACTCGATAAGACATCCAAACCTGCTTATCAATGAGGATTTGCCAATGCATTTGATAATTGATAATGACCACAATAAGGAAAACACAGTATATTGTGTTGAATTTGATACTGCTTGACAAATGTGATAATGTCACAATGCCCCTTCGGATGGGGTAGGCCCTACTAGTTAAAAAGTCTTAACGGAATCCATGGAACGTCCCAACTCTGACCTTACCCCCATTGAAATTGAAATGGTTAAGGTTAGAGTTAGGGTAAGGTTAGGGTTTAGGGTAGGGATGTCTCAAGGATCTCGGTTAGCACTAACCCTAGTTATTATTGGGTAACATTTTGCCATGGAAACACACTAGAGCTCATTGGCTATTTATATTGTAGTTTGAAATATCAGTAGATTTCTAACTGATGTACTGATTGTGACCCTGAGGTCTCCCCTGTGGAGAAAGCAAAGGAGACCAAGCAGAAAGAGAAGAAGCAGAGCATCTATCCAGCTGTGGCGGCCCTGCAGCTGTTCACTCTCTTCTGCTGTGGAGGGAAAGTCAAGCTGAAGAAAACTCGTGCCTCTCAGTACAGACAGAGTAAAAAGGACCAGGACGAAGATACTGCATCTGATACTGGTGAGTGTTATGGGTTGTCTGTTGATTAGATATAGAATGATATTGCTCCACTTGGAAAGATGTGTCTTCAAAATCAAAATGTCTAAACAGGCTCAGACTGGTCTGGAGGAGATGTTACAACCAAAAAGGTCAAGGACAAGAGTAATGGAAAGGTAGGGAGGGAGAAAGACTGGACTGAAGTCCAGCTATTGAAATCATCTCAAGACCACAAACCCAGAAGTACAACACCAGAAACAGACAAGGGAACTCATTTGGGACAAAGACCGAACTCTGTGAGACAAGCAAATATGCTGTATCATATTTTATCGAGAGCAAAATATATTTCCCATAATGTTTTATCATTGGGTATTGCAATTGTCTTATGCAGGCAAATCAAAGGACACCCCGGCAAGTGAAGACCCATGTGGAGGAAATATACATAAGACCTGACTCTCCGACTCTACCACGTGCCCACGTAAGTTACTGAAACCTGACTTACTATACAGACATTCAGAGATTCACACATTCAGGCAGTTTCCTCTCTGACCTCAACCTAACCCCCCTCTTCCTCCGGGTAGAGCTCCCTCTCCCAGTTCTCCCAGGCTAGGAACCTGGCCATCCTCCCGCTGGAGTGGCAGCTACCTGGAGTCCCTATGACCACCTCGTCTATGGCAACTAGGACAGAGAGAAAGCCATCCACTACCAACACTTCGACACAGGCGCAGACAGAAACACAGACAACAGATATGAACACAGACACACAGACCACTGCCACCTCTCAGAGACAGATCTCCATGGTGACCACCCAGTCATCAGAGACCATGACAGAGGTTCACACATCAGACTCAAGCACCCAGAACTCCACTCCTGACATGGCACTGACCCCTGAGAGCACTAAGGACATGATCGCTACTGATGAGGATGTGAAGGATGACTCTGCTGAAGATTTGATCTCCACCCTAACAGACACCTCTATGGAGAAATCCGTCCAGTAGGCCTAATGAACATTTCAATATAGCAAAAGCTATACTATGATCAATTAATAAAAACAGTTAATATTTCTGCAGCAAATGTTCACTACTGTTGATCTGTGAAGCAGCATGCTTAGGTTAGGCATATGTGTTTGAATTCACCAAAAATAATAAATAAACCAAAAATATATCAAACCACTACAGACATTTACATACATTTACATTTTACATTTTACATACTACAGGTAGGGGAGAGTGAATACATCAGCATTGAGTTAATTTGGTCAATAATGATCTATGGGCATATTACATTCTGTAATATATGAAATAACAATCACCCACAGTGAATACAAAGCAGACATGTTCTATTTTCTCCCTCCGTCCTTCCCTCCCATGTCCTGATGAGGTTTAGATTGTCTTGTTATCCACCCATTCAACTGTTTAGCATTTTAATAACACCTCGCAATCTCAGGGCCAAATTATTTTTGATTCACATGCTTAAAATAGAGCCCACATATCACCACATATCTGAGCGGCCTGAAGGTGCTGTGTTACTGGTGGGTTTCCAACAGATTACAGGGAGATTGGTGAAATAAGTCAACCTAAATAGGGACGATAGGAACATTATCATACTACAGCCTCATTCTCTTTGCCTATATTACAGCAGGGAGGATATATTGCTGTCATCAGAGTAATGGATTACCACACATACTGTATGTACCTCATGTTTTCACACATCATGATGTAGTCCTTGTAAGATAACTCTGGAGCGTGATCTTGTCGTTTTATCACTTTGAAGGGTGACAGAATAGTGAGCTTTATCCATGACTTTGAGAATGTAGGTATTTTATGAATTCTCACAGGTACGATTTCTGTCAAACTGCACTTTTCTGTCTCTGTCATGCCTGCGGTCACCAGATGTACAGCCTCCCCAGAGCTGCATATTCCAGTGGCCTACATGCATGGATAATGAGCTGAGAGAAGTAGTTGCAGCACATCGTTTTAGGCTACAGCCAAGCTCTATCTTTAACCTGAGAAACATCTTAGTCCTACATGAGTGCACTCTCCACAACAAAGACCAGCCTGACATCAACATACTGTTGATAAAGTAGACATTGAATTAAATCAACATAACATACACTGTACATGTATTTTTGATGATTGTTAATCTAGAAAAGACGCAGAACATATTAACTCTGAAAGGGGAGAGAGAGAAGAGAGAGGGGGATGAATGGGTGGATAAAGAGGAGAGACAGTACAGGGGATGGTGAGATGTGTCCATTTATGAATTCAAATATTCAACTCCCCAATAAGAGGATCAAAGGTTCACCCAGGTGTACAAACAAACAGACATGCATGTACATACAGACATGCACGGACACACACCTACACACACACCCACTCCTCTATCCACATGAAGTGGTCAGGGCATCACAGTGATCTAGTTACAAGGACATTGAGAGAAGCCATTTCTCTGCTCTAGAGACTGTAACATTGATGAGGTTCACTGGACGCTCAAACACACCTCCAACATGTCCGTGAAATAAAAGATTACATCATTTTAATCCAAGTACTTTTCATATGAATGCACAGTTAGATAAGTATTACTATCAATCAATCAATCAATTTTATTTTATATAGCCCTTCTTACATCAGCTAATATCTCGAAGTGCTGTACAGAAACCCAGCCTAAAACCCCAAACAGCTAGTAATGCAGGTGTAGAAGCACGGTGGCTAGGAAAAACTCCCTAGAAAGGCCAAAACCTAGGAAGAAACCTAGAGAGGAACCAGGCTATGAGGGGTGGCCAGTCCTCTTCTGGCTGTGCCGGGTGGAGATTATAACAGAACCATGCCAAGATGTTCAAAAATGTTCATAAGTGACAAGCATGGTCAAATAATAATCAGGAATAAATCTCAGTTGGCTTTTCATAGCCGATCATTAAGAGTTGAAAACAGCAGGTCTGGGACAGGTAGGGGTTCCATAACCACAGGCAGAACAGTTGAAACTGGAATAGCAGCAAGGCCAGGCGGACTGGGGACAGCAAGGAGTCACCACGGCCGGTAGTCCCGACGTATGGTCCTAGGGCTCAGGTCTCTCAGTTGGCTTTTCATAGCCGATCATTAAGAGTTGAAAACAGCAGGTCTGGGACAGGTAGGGGTTTCGTAACCGCAGGCAGAACAGTTGAAACTGGAATAGCAGCAAGGCCAGGCGGACTGGGGACAGCAAGGTGTCATCATGCCCGGTAGTCCTGACGTATGGTCCTAGGGCTCAGGTTCTCAGAGAGAAAGAGAGAACGAGAGAATTAGAGAGAGCATACTTAAATTCACACAGGACACTGGATAAGACAGGAGAAGTACTCCAGGTATAACCAACTAACCCCAGCCCCCCGACACATAAACTACTGCAGCATAAATACTGGAGGCTGAGACAGGAGCGGTCCGGAGACACTGTGGCCCCATCCGAAGAAACCCCCGGACAGGGCCAAACAGGAAGGATATAACCCCACCCACTCTGCCAAAGCACAGCCCCCGCACCACTAGAGGGATATCCTCAACCACCAACTTACAATCCTGAGACAAGGCCGAGTATAGCCCACAGAGGTCTCCACCACAGCACAAACCAAGGGGGGGCGCCAACCCAGACAGGAAGATCACGTCAGTAACTCAACCCACTCAAGTGACGCACCCCTCCTAGGGACGGCATGAAAGAGCACCAGCAAGCCAGTGACTCAGCCCCTGTAACAGGGTTAGAGGCAGAGAACCCCAGTGGAGAGAGGGGAACCGGCCTGGCAGAGACAGCAAGGGCTGTTCGTTGCTCCAGAGCCTTTCCGTTCACCTTCACACTCCTGGGCCAGACTACACTCAATCATATGACCTACTGAAGAGATAAGTCTTCAGTAAAGACTTAAAGGTTGAGACCGAGTCTGCGTCTCTCACATGGGTAGGCAGACTGTTCCATAAAAATGGAGATCTATAGGAGAAAGCCCTGCCTCCCGCTGTTTGCTTAGAAATTCTAGGGACAATTAGGAGGCCTGCGTCTTGTGACCGTAGCGTACGTATTGGTATGTACGGCAGGACCAACTCGGAAAGATAGGTAGGAGCAAGCCCATGTAACGCTTTATAGGTTAACAGTAAAACCTTGAAATCAGCCCTTGCCTTAACAGGAAGCCAGTGTAGGGAAGCTAGCACTGGAGTAATATGATCAAATTTCTTGGTTCTAGTCAGGATTCTAGCAGCCGTATTTAGCACTAACTGAAGTTTATTTAGTGCTTTATCCGGGTAGCCGGAAAGTAGAGCATTGCAGTAGTCTAACCTAGAAGTAACAAATGCATGGATTAATTTTTCTGCATCATTTTTGGACAGAACATTTCTGATTTTTGCAATGTTACGTAGATGGAAAATTAATAGAGATCCACACTCTTTTCAAACTTCGGTAGGCTATCTATGCCAGGGGCTATTCTAGATCCTGAGCTATGAGAATCCGTTGACCTGGCCGAGCTCCCCTCACTGTACTGTAACACCAGGCTAACACCTATCAAGAGTAATCATGGCTTTAAGTGACCAGTCTATCCTCAGGGGGATACTCCTGACAACACATTGACAGCCAGGCTCTATTACGGTCTGTCAGCTGCTGTTTTTGCTGGCTCTGTCTTTACCCTGCTCATAGGACATGATGGACAGTAAGTGTGTGTGTGTGTGTGTGTGTGTGTGTGTGCATGCGCTTGCGTACATGTGCTCATGCCTATGCATGCATGCCTATGTTTGTGTGTGTCCGTGTCTGCATTAATGTGTGTGTGCATGCGTTCCTATGCATGCATGCATGGGTGCACATGCATATCTGTGTGTGTGTGTGTATGTCTGTGTGTGTATGTGTGTGTGTGTATGACTGAGGGCTGGAATGAACAGTCAACCGTTTCTCATTAGTGTCTAGCTGCAGAGGGAGAGCAATAAGACAGTGATGTATGAATGTCCCCTGAGCAATCATAGACACTATGAGCCATCATGGGAAGAAACAGGGAAGAATATATACAGCTTAGTACGAGACTCTGAAACAATGAATGGGTTTGATAGACAAAACATTTTTATACTCTACTACAGTGTTTCCCAACTCCGGTCCTCGAGTACACCCAACCAGTGGAGGCTGCTGAGGGGAGGACAGCTCATAATAATGGTCGGAATGGAGTAAATGGAATGGTATCAAACACATGGTTTTTATCTGTTTGATACCATTCCATTCACTCCATTATTATGAGCAGTCCTCCCCTGAGCAGCCTCCACTGCCCCCAACAATACATATCTTGTTGTGGCCCCGGAGAAGCACACCTGATTGTACTTGTCAACTAATCATCAAGCCCTTGACATTTGAATCAGGTGTTTTTGTCCAGGGCTACAATACAAATGTGTACTGGAGGAGGGAAAAACTGTGATAATATAATACTACATGATACAGATATTCTCTCTCTCTCTCTCTCTCTCTCTCTCTCTCTCTCGTAGAGTTGTATTGTTAATTCCACAGACATCGCTCTGTCAGTGAGACCCCATGAAACACATAGCATCTCTCCATCCCTACACTGGGGAGTGGGGAGCCCTGAGGACCTACTTTGAAGTTCTCCACAGGCTAGTCGTTTACTGGTGGAGCACACTGATGGAAGGTAGAGGGGGATGGGGAGGTATGGAGAGAGAGAGGATTATTAGAGGATGATGATAGAGATATTAAAGTCATCCATTGGTAGAGCTCATGTATTTCCACTCCTTCCACTTCCTGTCCAGGAAGACACAGTGAGTGAGATTGAACAGGTTGCCAGTATTAAACCCCATCTCTTTCCCTCCTCCTCATCAACGGCAAACATCCATTAGCCATTCTGAGACACACTTAGATGATTCCTTTGATGATACAGCAGTAGCAATACAAGGATATAACATCTATAGAAGAGTCAGGAACGCTTATGGAGGAGGTGTTGCTGTATATATTCAGAGCAATTTCCCTGTAATGCTTAGAGAATATTTTATGTCAAGTGTTATTG